GTGAAGGTTGTAAAATTGGTTGTTGTTGTTGTTGTTGTTGTGACGTTTGTTATTTGAGTTGTTGTAGTTTTTGGAATTGTTGAAATTGTTGGTATTGTTGTTGCATTTGTTGTAGTTGGAAAGATGGAAAATGTTGATATTGTTATTCAAAAATGATGTTTGTTGGATAGGGGAACCGGTTTGAAGCAAATTGACAAAACCGCCTTGAGGTGACTCCATAGTCGGGAATTGGCGAAGGGTTGTATCTAACGCAAAAGCGTTATCGAGTTTGCGATTTATGTAGTTTGGAGGGGTATTTTGATTGAGATTCATGGTTTTTGGTTGTGAAGATGTAGTGTGTAGTTTGTGTATAGAGAAAGAAAAGAATGGTGTAAAAAGTAAGGAGTAAAAGTGTGGTATTTATAGGTAAATAAATTGGTTAAAATTTTATTTTTTTTAAACAAAGTAGTCGTTGAACGGCTATGGAAATTGGTCAAAATGGGCTTCGATTTCATTCGACGTTTCCATCCGTTATGGCCAACACGAAACACCACGACAACGGCTGACTACGAAACAACGAGGTGGTGTGCAGGGTCGTTGTTCATGGCCAGCTCAACCACGACCAAGCTCATTGTATGTATACCACATGGACTTAATGGTAGCTAGTAGTCGTGGTGGATTGTGGTGCAAATGACGATAGACCACATCCAATAGATTTCTTTCTTTCTTTATCTCTCTCTAGCTTTCTCTAACTCTCTCTCTCTCTCTCTATATATATATATATATATATATATATATATATATATATATATATATATATATATATATATATATATATTTTAAAAATCAAAAAATAAAAGGGTTATAGTGGTGGGTATACCAGCCTTTTAGTGGTTGTACTTGGTGATGATATGGCATCCACCACTATAGTGGTTAGTGGTAAATATAATGGATGGTCTTATTTAATATCAAAATCAAGTTATAATAAAAAGAATATTTACTAAATATCTACAACTTTGTCAAAAAGTTAGAAATAAATATTTAAAAATTGAATATCTTTCTACTTTTTGTTCCTCCTATCCTCCTACTTATTTTAGATTGTGACAAGTGTCATTAAATTTAACTTAAATTTGATGTGGATGTTAAATTTGTACATTTGTCATCTTAAATATGAATATTTACTAAATATCTACAAGTCATCATTTGGATCAATAAATAACAAAAACCTTTCATCAAAGGCCGAAGGCCTGACGAGCGGTCCATATAGGCTTTAGGCCTTGCAAGGCGATCTAGTCATGTCGAAGGCTCGAGAGTGGTCCAGATATGTTGTAAGCCCTGTGAGGCAGTCCAGTCAAACTGAAGGCTCATGTATGCATGATGTTGTTTGATATGTTTATGTGGTGATACTTTGGGGGAACTCACTAAGCGTTGGCTTATCATTTTAGCTTTGATTCAGGTACTTTCGAGGACTGTGGCAAGGCGAAGTCATAACCGTACACATCCTCGGTTTTTATGTTGATGGATCGTGGGAGACTCTGAATCGAATAATATGTTGAAAACAATGATTTTGTAAACACTTTTTAAGCAATGGGTTGTTTTGAAAAGCTTCAAATTTGTTATGATTTTTGAAATGTTACAACACTAATCCATTTTAAAAGAATATTATTGTTAAGAATACATTTTGCTAGAATACATTCTCATTCTCCATATTTTTCATCATTTTTCACATCAATAACAGCCTCTTCAAAACTTAAACCCACAAAGAAAACATAATCAGTTTTCAAATATTAAAAACTCCAATGCATTCTAAGACAGTAAAAACTATATAGTCATTGCATAAAACATGTGGTGCTATTAATTATGACATAATGCATACTACATGGTTAGATTCTTTAGATTCTCTATTCTATAATAATAGAATGTCATTCTTGAAAATCTCCATTCTATAAGAATAGAATGCTATTCTTGAAAATCTCCATTCTATAACAAGGCAACACCATGGTTCAAGACAACTTCAATCTTTTGGTCTTTCAATTTCACGCAACATCTGTGAATTTGAAATAGCTTACTCCTTCACATCCAAGAAAAATCATTAGTTTGAACAATGATCCTTGTATATGTTAGAAAAACTAAATTGAAATCAAATATCTTGGTGATGCACACTCATAAACTATAGATAGTAAAATTATATCAAAATGCATTATCAACATATAATAGTAAAATTCTATCTGAATACAATTGTAAATTCTATCATAATGCAATATTAACATATAAATAATTAACCAAAATAGGTGTCATTCTTACCGGTGCAATGGTGGCAAAACACGATTGTTATCAAACAAATATAAGCAGAAAAAGAAAAAGAGGATTGTCATCAAACAAAATTATAAAGAGAAAAATGAACTGGAGTTCTTACTTCATATGGTTAGCCTCTATCAATCACTAACACGTCATTTAGTAACAAGCATGTTCCCCCATCTTATAAAACAAAAAATGAGTTATATACAAATCTTGATGCCAACTTGAATCGATATATATATATATATATATATATATATATATATATATATATATATATATATATATATATATATATATATATATATATATATACACACACACGAAACATATTTGATATGGGCAAAGGTAACATACATAGTAAAAAAAGAACATTGTGATGAACAACCAGATCAAAATTGCATGATTGGTTCCGATTTCAAACCATATTTGCACCAAACAGCACATATAGACAAATATTTATATAAACCATAATAGTACTTCAAAAAACTAGCACGAGAGAGAGAGAGAGAGAGGGGGGGGGGAGATACCCAAGAAAGATAAGCGTGGACATGGAATTGAGGTTGCAAAAATCGAATTGATGAGGGTGTTGATGGTCGACCTAAGATTCTAAAGAAATAGATGGAGAATGATGATTAGGGTTAGAAGAATTGGATTTTAGCGTTGATGAATTTGGATTATTAGGGTCAGTGTGGGGATGGGGGTAGGGGGATGATGGCGGCATTGCTAACTGCAGGGAAAGTGGGTAACGCCAGTTGTTGAACCTCAACACCATATGATGCATAAACCAAAAACTCATTGTAATAGAATCTGACAGTTTGAATGCTATTGAAAGGAGTTATTTGGAAACATGAGGTTACGGAAAGTGATAATGCCTTTCGGGGAATGAGGTGAGGAGGCGGAGTAGGAGGAGATTGTCTTGGGCAATAGGGTCGTCGCATATAGCATGTCATCACTAGAATAGGAGGCCAATTTCGGATGTCCTCTTTTTTTTTTTATCACCAGAGGGTTGGGAATTTAGAATGGGATAAAAATATGATGTCACTACTCCTTTAAAAATGGGAGAAAGCTACCATGATTTTGGTCAAAAAAAAAAATTAGTAACGTCCAAAATTTAAGGAATTCTTTCTTATTTCTAAAGTTGATTATATATAAAGTTCGAAGAATACCCTTATATGCATTATTAAATATTTTTTTTTTTCTAAAAATCTCATTGGTCCATATATGCATACAATAATTGTAGAAAACATATGAACATAACACACACGCACACAAACATTATATATATATATATATATATATATATATATATATATATATATATATATATATATATATATATATATATATATATATATATATATATATATATATATATATATATATATATATATATATATCGAATTAACATAAAATTTACATTCTTCACGTTTACAATATGTTCCTCATGAGCTTCAAACATGTTAGTTAATTTTGAGTTTGAACTGGAAATTTATTTCTTTGCTTGTATAATTTCATGTTGTCTCAAAATAGGTCATATAAGTTTTCTTAAAGGCTTATATCACAATTAAATTAAGAAAAATGTATTATGCATGTGTTTCACAATCAACATTTAAGAACTTTTAACAAAAAATTCGATTTAAACAAAAAGTTTTATTTAGAAGTACGAACGTTTAATTTTTAATTTAAATGAAATACTCTAAATATAAAATCTAAATATAAAAGTTAGTTCACGTTTAAAAAAAACCTATCGAGCTTTTAATCAATTTTCAAAATTACCTTTAAAAAGATATTTATATATTTATCTTTTTTGAACAAGTGTCCTTTTATTTAATTGTATAAATTTTAAAAGCTTATAACTATTATTAGTGACAAACATTCGTATAACAAATAAAAGCTACAGCTTCTAATTACGAGGTATGAGGTATCTACTATCAATTACCCGTTACCATTTATCCCGTTACAAGCTAGTTTTGTCAAACACATCATATATGTTAGTTTTGAACATGTTTTTTCTTACGAACCAAAAATTATATTTTCAAAAGCATGATTCTTTCATTGCGTCAATCGTTCAAATAAAGAAGTCTTCCTTTTTTTCTAAGTTTCCCTTGTTTCATATTAAAAGATTTACATAACAATGCAAAAAATAGCTACGAAATAAATTTTCGAAGTTGTTCTTGGTTTGTGAAAATCCTACTAATATTCGTTTTAAGGGCCATAATAATCGACTTCGAAGATCGGAAATTGATAATATTCAAATTCGGTGATTGACTATTTCGTATTTTTTGAAAATAATTGTCATTCATTTAATTATGTTGATGGAAAGTGATTATTTTTTTTGATTATCCCATTTTTGTAGTGAGACCTTCCTACATCCTCCCAACAACCACCATATCCCTACCCCATTCTCCTATTTTGGGTTTTGATTAAGCACATTTGATTTTGTTTCCATGAAGTGGGAGCAAATCCGTTGAACTATTAATATTTGACAACAAAAATGTTTTTTGGATGAAAAAAAAAACAAATCGATTTATAGTTAAGTTAATCTAATGATGCTTTGAGCTATTTCGTATATAGATCATATAACTCTAATCATAATAGGGAAATTAAGCTAATCTTACATTACCAAAATTTGATTACACCATTTTTACTTTAATTTCAAACCAAATATAAAAAACATAAACCATTTAACAACATTCAACAAACAATCATTCATAACCTTCTCATAATTTAAGATTTTCTAGACACTTAACTGCTTCAGACTCGTTTACCTTCAACCCCTCCTCTTTCTTAACCGGAGTGGGAGGGGGAGGTGCAGAAAACACCGGCACCGCCTGTCTCACACAGATAGGCGGTGCCACCTTCACCGGTCTACTCTGCACCACCTGCCGAACAGGCGGTGCAGAGAAAACCGGCACCGCGGTTCTCATAGTAACCGGCGGTGCAAGCGGCCTGTAGTACCGCATCGGAACATAAGCCGGGCGGTTTTGGTTTTGGTTTTGGTTTTGATGTGGCAATGGTAATGATGATGATGGTAATGGAGATGATGATGATGGTAATGATGATGATGATGATGATGGTTCATGTTTTTGGTACAAGAATGGAAGTATTTTTGACGACGTTAACGGTGGTCGTTGTGGGCTAGGTGGTCGAGGTGAAGGTGTAGTGAATTTTTTATCAAAAGGTATTGGGTGGTGGTCAACGTAGTTGACTTTTCCAATTTTTTGTTTTAATTTGTAATTCATAAGTGCTCTCGCGATTCTGATTTGTTCCTGTTCATCGTTGTTCTCCGGTTCAGTCGAAGAACTCGCATCTTGTTTTGCCACTAAAAAGTAAAACAAAAAAGCGTTAAATAATACAATTAATAAATTATTTTTTTTAATTGGTTGAAGAAGTCGAAGTCGAAGTCAAAGTCAAAATTAAATTCATTTGACTTTAACTCACAGTGTTTGAGAGATGACCATGCTGACATGGCAGCGTTTTTTTCCGCTTGTTTTTTGTTTTTCGCGGGTTCACCGGTGAATGTAATTCCGGCGAGTTCGACTATTCCGGTGAACACAGGTAGGTGTCCTAAACCGGACCGGTAAGTTGTGTAACGTGGCAATGGTGCACCGACTCTTTGTGAGATTTCTTGTAATAGATTTTTGTAAACCCCAGTTTCATCCTACAATTTAATTAAATAATATAACAAATATTTAATATAATAATAATAATAATAATGCTAATAAATACTATGAGCCTAACAGGGCACATGCAATGCTGCAACAAAGCATTTATAAGCATAGTTAATTTTCGCAGACAAAGGCTATAACTACTAATATGTGCTCTCAATAACTTTCCCATGTGCCATTTTTTCTTTTATTTTTTTTAATAATAAGTTTGAAATTTCATTTATGAATTATGAATTAGGAAGTAGGAATTCAAACTTCTTACATTCACATCGAAATGGTCAAATAATTCAAAGTGTTCATACCTATCTATCATAATAAAAAGTAAGACTGCATTCAGTCATCTTTTTGTTACTATATATTTCTCCAAGATTGGGCACGTGGCACGTTGTTGTAAATTACAACGTTTTTTACCATTTTCATATGAGAACACGAAGATCATTTAAACATGAAAAAGGTAAAGCATTTGGTATAAATTTGTTCTTTTTGAAGGATGAAATAGTATAGCATATTAGCATGTAGATTAAAATCTTAAAATAAGGATTAGCAACGAAATAAGTAAAACTATTAAACCTACCAGAGCTGTATTTTGAATTTTCACACCATTGAATTGACTAGCTATTTACTAAATTACTACTATAAGTCTATAACTAATCGATTAAATGCTTCATGTTCATGCATCAATCACTTGTACGTTGACCAAAATTGGTACAAGTACTTATGGTGACCAAAATACCCTCACCGGAGAAGCTAAATAGCTAAAATTGCCACACCCGGGGGACAAAGCGAGTGTATCATGATTCATGATGCATTGTTAGCTAGTACAGTACAACTCTAAATGCAATCAGACCTAATCGTTCTTCAAAAACTCGAAAGGGACACCGGAAAGGGGTATTTTGGTAAATAATCGACTCAAACGTTGCTTTTTCCGACGAGACGAGTAAAGTAATTTTCCGGTGAAAAGAAGTAAGGAGAAAGGAACTTACGAGGATTCTAGCGGCGAGGGAGTGGGAGGAGAGGGAAGAGAGAGCGACCTCAGCGGCGGCGTGCTCAGCCTGACGGAGAGTGGAGAAATAGTTAGGGCTTTCAAAGGAGTCGCCGTTGAAATTAACGACGGCCTTGAACCTCGGCGCGTGGTCAGGTCCTTCCCTGATGCACGTATAAGATGGGAGGTTGAAGCAGCTTCTCTGCGCTAGCTCTTGCAGCTGATTCTTATACATCTCCACCAATTACTAACCGGAAACCTCTCTGTATATGTAAACTCCGATGTGTTGGTGAAACAATTAACGGAGGCGACGCCACCGGAGATGGATGAGCGGCGGAGAAATGGGTGAGATATGAGGGAAGAGGGGGTGTTTTTTTGGGGATGGAAGTATGTAAAGACCGGTGTGTGTGTGTGGGTGTGGCGTAAATTTGTTTAATGGACGATATAGTGAAATACGCATTAAGCCTTTTTCTCCCCCTTCCTTTGCATGGATGTGATTTTGATTGATTATTTAAAAATTAAAATATATATATATATATATATATATATATATATATATATATATATATATATATATATATATATATATATATATATATATATAATTATCAAACTATTATGTAAAACAACATTATCTTACAAATTTTATAATTACAGAAATTAAATATTATATTTTAAAAAGTTCGTAACTTTATTTTTTGTCTTTTTATATTATAAATAATATTTTCAGAAGGTAACAAAAGATTTAAGTTTTTTTATTATTATTCATGACATTAACCCTAATTTTAAAAAATAATATAAAATACATGTTTTAAGGTAACTTTTAATTATGATGTCTAAAATTATGTAATCTAATTTTGGGTGTGTTAAAAAGGCAATAATTTTGTGATTAAAAGATGTGAAATTGTGTAAGATTTGAGTGGGGTAATCATGAAATGAAGCACCACTACATAAAGAGGCTAATCTTTTTTGTTTTCTTTGCATATTGGTGTTATTTGAAGAGAGATATGGGTGGGGCCCACTATGCATTACTTCATTGGATGCCTTCCAACTCCCAATGCTTTTTTCCTTCCTTTTAAACTCCAGCTATTGTGTCCATATTACCAGCATACTTCCATTCCATCTGCCAAAAATATTAAAGCAGTCTATATATAAATTGGAACAACTTTATCTTTTCTTAGATTTGTTATAAAATATTTATAAAGAAAAAGAAAAAAAAAATAGTCAACAATAACGTTATGTAACGTTTTTAATACAACATGTATTTTGAATATATAGATATAATGGTCATCAAAGTAACATAAAGCCGTTGACTTAACAAATTCGACCAACCCACTAAATTTTAACATTCTTTTACCCTATAAAAACATAAACCTTAAAATGTATATCTTATAATACAAAACTAATCCCTATGATTTCCCAAAAAAAGAAAAGTTTGAATTCATTTTTTTTCATTATCATGGCCAATTCAAAATTTGAAACTTGTATACATATTTATGATATCCAAAATTGAGTACTTTCTTTAGACGTGGGTTAATTCAAAGGACTAAATCTGAACTTTTTGGGATACCACGGGGACCAAATATGCATGAAGTTTCAATTTTAAACTAAAATGGACTTTGACTTTTGGTATACAAGTACCAATTTTGCAATAAACTCTAAAATACACCAGTATATATAGATATAATGGTTATCTTATTTTCATAATTTTTATATATAAGTGTCACCCTCGAAATTTTTAGCGTGTTTTCTTTTTATAATATGTTCGAGAAAAGTGATGGAAGCAAATTGAGGTAATAACAACTGTTTTCTTGTTGACTTTGACCGAATACCTAATGTTTGATCCAACTCTAAGCATCAATCACTTTCTTGTGGACTTTTGAGCACAACTTTGCTTCTAAATATCGATTCATACTATGTAGTCTTTACATCGTAAAACGCAACGATATACCAAATTTGCTGTATGACATATAGGCTGATGTATTTTTTTTTGAACATTTCAAGTGTTCCATAAGGAATTTAACAAAAAAAAAATATTATTATTGTTTGTATGATGATCATCATCAATGGGTTGATTTTCATGTTCAATGCATAAAAACAGATGTTTGTGAAAAATCCAAAAGAGAAAAAGAAAAGCCATGTGGTTTATGTATTGTAACTTTGGAAGTGGGCTCTGTTTTGGATTTTGCGAAGTACAAACTTGTTTTGAAATGAGAATTTTAGTGAAGTAATTTATTTACTCAGAGACTTAAATATTCACTGAACCTTGTCTGTAAATAGATGTGTAGATCAAAAGCTGCAAAAAGTCGATAAGTCTGTGCAAACAGTAAATCTGACAAAGAGGCAGAAGCACTGTAATTTTATCAGATAAATCACTGAGACTGAGAAATAATACAAGCGTCGTTTATAAAAAAAAATATTTATAAAAAAAAACAAAAACAAAAAGTGATAATAATGATTCTGTTTTACCTTTTACATGTTTTTAGTGCAATGCAGTCTATGGTGTAATTTTATTTCCCCCCGTTATAAATGATAAAGGGACTGAATAGGTAATGTTGTCTGCAATTCCACTTTAAATTTAATCACGTTTTTTAGAAAGGGGTTGTGTTGGGGGCATTTTGGGTATTTCGTGTTACTTGCTATGCTATTTAGGAGTGGGATTGAATAAGGCGTGGCATGCTTTGTGAGATATTTTATCTTGGGAGAGTTAAACTTGAAGAGCTATTGGATTGTAAGGCTTGGGGCATTTTGAGTTGTTTTCTTCTACAGTTAAATTACAGTTTTCTGAGATAGTGTTTGATTGCTCTTGTACATTAAGCTTGTTCAATTGAAACCATGGAATTGGAGTTATTTGCAAAATGGCAACAAGTAACACAAACATACTCATTAGGTCACTGACGTTTGGAAGTTTGTTGGCTAATTAGATACAATTATAAGTTTAGAGACTTAAAAAGCAAATAAAATGTTATTGGTAGTCATTTTATAACATCTTCATAGAAAATATTAGAAGTCTTTTTAACACCATTTATAGATGAGAAAATTCATGAAATAACCAAAAATTAGGGTGTTTTTTCAGCAAATAACCATGAAATTTCGAGTTTCGTAAAATGTTTCTGAGAAACTTTTAATGTCTCTTAGGAACTTAGCACACCTTTGCGGAAATGAGGTGACAGCACTAAAAGACAATTTTTTTATTGGGTTTTTGAAGGTTACGCAGAGGTGTCTGCGGATCTTGTGAGCACCTTTGCGGATCGCTTAACGTCGCTGAGGAATGGGTAAATACTTAAAAATCCCAAAAAATTCTCTTAAAAATTTGTTCATACCCATTTCTTAGGTTGCCGTTTCCGTTTCCGAAACTCCATGGAAACGGATACTCCATGGAAACTCCTTGGAAACGTTTCTTGGAAGTATCGGATATCATGGAAACGTTTCTGGGAAGTTTCCTTAAAGTTTCGATGAAGTTTCCTAGTTGTTTCTATTTTATTTTAAGGTTTACATGGGCTTTTTAAGTTTAAATCCAAAAAAGACTAATAGACTGCTGTTTTTAAGGCTCAAAACGTATTTGGTATTTCCTCAAGTCCCTAACCGATCGTCAATCAAAGTCTCCCCTGTCGCGAGTCGTGTCCTGTCTTCTCGATCAAAGACGATCAGTCGATCACAATTCACTAGGATCGTCAATCATCATTCATCACCATTCTTGATTCTCGTAATTCCTAATCACATCATCGATTATGGCTTCTTAAGAAACACAATGATCATCAACTACATCAATAGATCAACCTCCATTGCGGGACTTGACATCAATATATATATATATATATATATATATATATATATATATATATATATATATATATATATATATATATATATATACACACACACACAATTTTATATTGACGTATCTCTGCCGTATCTGTATCCTGATTTTTTGGGTTTTGCCGTTTCCGGTTTCCGTTCTGTATCCGTTTCCCATTGCCGTATCCGTTTCTGTGCAATTACAATATCCGCAAAGACACCTCTGCGTAACCTTAAAAGCCCAAAAAAAAAAAAAAAATTGTCTTTTAGTGTTGTCACCTCATTTCCGCAGAGGTGTGCTCGGTTCCTCAGAGACATTAAGAGATCCGTAACTAGGGATGAGCATATGGACCAGGGAACCGGCCGCGGTCGGGCCGGGACCGATACTATAATTTCGTCAATTTTTGGAACCGGAACCCGGTAAGAACCGGTCGTTGGAACCGGCCCAAAACCGGGAACCGGACCGTATAATCTTTAAAAAAAAACCCATGCCTTTTTTTTGGAATTGGACGTAAACAAAAAACTGATCTTCGAGACTTCGACTATGTTTCTTCTATTTCTATTATATTATAATGAGATTTTCAGGTTCTATTGTTATTGTTGTTGTAGGCATATATTAACATTTGTATAACTATAAATTATATGTAATTTTAGTTTCCAATTTTAAACCAATGTCTATCTATTCTATATTTTGATAAAGATATTTAACAATTATAATTATCACTATTCTAATTAATAAATAACAATTCTACATTTTAGTTTTTGATAATTTTCCAAAACGTGACCTCCAAACAGAAAGTTTAAAAACAAACTAGGACATGCATGAAAATACGGCTACATCTTCAATTTTGACGTAAATTACAGATAATCTAACTTTTCACCTTCGAGCTTATAATAATCAATTTCAAAGCATATTCCAAACAACGTTAAAACACAATCCGACTTATGTTAGGGAAAAAGAAAAAAAACCCATCCAAAAATACGTTGCTATTTCTCGAAGACCAGTTCCAAAATCGAAAACCTGGTAAAAACCGGACTCGGAACCGGAACCGGTAGAGCCGGAACCAGTAGAACCACCGGGCCGGTTCGGTTCTTGATTTTGGCTGAAGTCGGTTCCCAGGTCAGGTCCGGGTCGGTCCGGTTCCGGCCGATTCGGTCCGTTTGCTCATCTCTATCCGTAACTACGGATCTGATGGTCATTTTACGAAATTCGAAATTTCATAGTTATTTGCTGAAAACACCCCCTAATTTTTTATTATTTCATGAATTTTCTCTTTATATATCCAAAATCTTCAATTTTGCCTCAACGGTGTTTTAAAAATATTCAAACAAGCACCAGCCATAAGACAATTAAGATATTTTTCAACAAGAAATTTTCATTTTCTTCTAAATTCATTGTTAAATGCATATAACTATTTCTAAGACTTAACAATTTAAGCATTATAGATTCAAAGATAATAAAAATTATTTTGTTTATTACATTATTTCTTTTCCCAAACAACCCAATACATATTAATTGTTAAGTCTTAGAAATAGTTATAGGTTTAACAATGAGGTTAGAAGAAAATGAAAATTTCTCGTTGAAAAAGATAATTATCTTATGGTTTGGTATATTTTTAAGACAAGTAAGTTGAGGCAAATCAAAGATTTTAGATAGATAAATGGTGTTTAAAAGTTTTTTAATATTTTCTATAAAAATGTCCTAAAATGA